CCGTTCGTTTAGTTTTCTGTAATCTATGACTAACCGCCATTTTCTATGTCCTGAGGCGTCCATCTTTTTCGGAACGATCCAAATTGGGCTTGACCATGGAGAAATACTATCCTGAATGATTCCTTGTTCTAACATTTTTCCAATTTGGGATTTTACTTCTTGTTTGTGTACGTCCGGAAAGCGGTATGATTTTGTATAAATGGGTGAATCGTTGTTTAGTCTAATTTTGTGTGTTATTGCGTTGGTAAAACTTAGAGGAATACCTTCACAATAAAAAATATCCCTATAGTCATAACATAGGTTTTTCAAAGCGTCTTTCTCTTCTTTATTACAATGGCCTAGTCTAATGTTTTTCAGGTTTTGTTTCAATAAATTGTCATGTGATTGGTCTAGTGAATTGTCTGTTTCGATTTTGTCTATAAAATTTATATCAATCAAATTCAATGCTTCGATTTCCAAAGGTTCTGAAATATTCAGTTCTACAGGATTCTCATTAATGTTCGTTATGGTAGTGAATGCGAAATGATTCGAAACGTTTACTATTGCCTTCGGCATTTCCAGACCATTTTCGAAATTTTGATAATTAAGAATTCCGAAACCATCTTTTTGTTTAACAGGTAGTTTTACTATTTGCTGTACGCGAGGTGCTATTTTTATTTTATAGTTCAAAATGTTACTTGATTTTTCTTCGGCTTCATTCTCTTGTTCGAATATTATTGAGATGTTAACGAAAGGAGTTGACAAAATTTTCGAGTGTACATTTACGTTCGCATTTAATTGTTTGAGTAAGTCTACACCTATTATTCCATCGAATTTTTCGCTGAACTTGAATAAATAAAATTTGTGTGTTCCATTTACTCTGAATATTTGGAAAACTGGAATTTCGGCAACTTCGTCATGATATGATATGTCATGAGCTGTTTCGATATTGAAAGGTTCTTTACGAATGAAATTTCGATAAAATTGATATGCTACTTTTGGATCCATTAAACTTTTAGAACTCCCTGTATCTATTAAAAGGTTTGCATTTATTTCTGGTATAAAAATGTAAGGAAGATTTGCTTTAAGAGCATTTACGTGAATTACGTTAGATTTGTGGAGGCCGTTGTTTCTTGAAAATTCTCATTCGGAGGATTATTTTCAAGGGCGTATGCAGTTTCTGGGAATTTAGTTTCTGCAGGAACATCATAATTATTATATTCATCATTTTGAGAAGCATCGTGATAATTGTATTCATCTGAAGGCAGATAATTTTGATAGTCTTCATAGAAATCTTGGTTTATGTTTTCAAATGGGTTTTCAAACTGTTCGTCAATATTTTGTGCGTATAGTTGGTTAGAGATAAATTTTGAAGGTGGTTTCATACGGGAATTACTAGATGATGTATCCATAGGTTCGGGTTTGGTATTCAAGTTTTGATTATTTGGTCGAACAAATTGCCTCGTTTGTTGAGATGGATTTTGACGTTGTCCGAAAAATGGTTGACGTTGAAAATTATTGAACTGTGGTCTTGGGTGAAATTGTTGTGGTTGTTGTTGAGGGGTGAAAGAGGTATTATATTGATTTGGAGGTCGATAAAATGATTGTTGATTTTGAGGACTGAAAGGTGTGTTAGGTTGATATGATGGTCGATTCATATGAACGGGAGGGAATGATTGTTGTGTATAATTGTTAGAAAAATTCGTTTGAGGTCTGAATGGGTAATAGGTTTGATTTGGTTGGGTAGGTCTTATAGGGGTGATTCTTTGTGTCGGTTTGAATGATGTCTGAGAATTCAAAGTATTTGATCGTTGAGTTGAGTAAAAGAAATTTTCTTCTTCTATCACAAGACTCATAGCTCTTTCAAGACTGTCAGGGCATCTTAGTCTTACGTTTGTTTGTAACTGTCCGGGAAGTCCACGTATAAATGTTTTCAGAGATAGATTATTATAATTTTTAAGCCAAACATTTTTCTCTTCTGCGGACATCACTAGAGTATTTAATTTTAAAATAATTAGACTTCTTGCGTCTTGGCAACGCATACCGAAATTGTATGGGCTCTCATTTCTTGATGGTCTCAAAGAAATAAGGTCTTGCAACAAACAATCAATATCACGTTGATCGCCAAAACTTAGTAACAAAGCTTGCTTAATTTCTGTCCAACTTGTAAGTTCTGTTCGAGATCCTATTAAAGCAAGGGCTCTACCAGTGAGTTTGCCCGTAATAGCTCTCAGTAGGAAATTATTCATCGCAATATCATTTTGAGTTACAAATGTATTGATGAGACTTTCACAGTTCCCAATGAAAATATTGAGGGTGTGAGGGTTACCATCATATGGAGGAATCGAATCTATGTACAGTCTTAATAATTGGTAATTTGTTTCTGGCATTTTAGTTGAGTCTGAATCTATCTGAATTGTTTGTAATAAAGTGGTTAGTGATTCTAATTCAGAATCAGTCATAAAAATTCAAATGAGCAGTGACTATAAAAACTATTATTAAAGGTTCCAGTAGGGAAATGAATGGGAAAATTGAATAGCACTTACAGTAGTATCGTGATTTTCATTCTTGGTTTTCTTATCCTAAGTGTTTCTATCCTAGATGCCTATAGGTTTGGAAAGCGATTTTCTTCTCCCAGGACTTTCTGTTGGCTGCTCAGATTTTGTTTTCCTTCCACACTGTTCACTTGTCTTAGTCCAGTAACGAAGCGATCCAACTATGAACTGTCTGTTCTCGATCCGATATGCCTTCGAATCTAGTTAGTCTTTTTCACTACCGAACTTTTTGTTTCGTATCCCGATAAATCGTTGAAACGAAAAACTGCCCGTGCGATACGAACAATTTTCGGGATCCTACCGACTGCGCCAGTTACAAGTTACTTTCAGCAAGGAAGCTTTTTAAAAAACGAAAAATCTTTCACAGGGTCTTTATTTACTTGCGAACAAGACAAACAACAGGCAAAGACTGAATTCAAATATATGAAATGCTACAGAACGTAAACTCATTTATGATGAGTTTGCAAAGATTACAGTTTCGTCGAAATAAGCTGGAAAGTGTCTGTAACTCGTATACCTTCTGATGATTTCGGCGTCAATCTTCTGTTATACAGTCTGTTCAAGATAAGGTTGAACAGCATGGGGATCTCGAAAACGGTAAGAGATACGAAATCGGTTAAATGGGGAAAAAGTTGCGCATTCGGAGGCTCATATCAAGAGCCTTCGAAAATTTTGAAAATTATTTTTAGTTTTTGAGTTATATCGAAAAAAGTTAATTTTTGGAATTTCTATTTCATTTTTTTTTCTCCGTTATTATCACAGATACAGAAAAACTGGAAATACTTTTTCATTGCAACTTTTGATGAGGTTTAACGTGGTGATACCGATTTTTTTATGCGACGTTTCGTATTCGTGGAACCATCATCAACTTTTGTTTTTTAAATAAGGTCCTGATAATTTTTTCACAGATTCTGAAAGGTTTTTTCATTCCGAATTCAACAATGTACTGAACAAGGTGATTCAAATGTGTTTCGACCTATTTCTATCCATCATCAATGTTTTTTCGACCTTCCAAAAGAAAAAAAGCCATCAGTTCCACTTATTTCTCATCATTTAGTGTCAAACTTGATGGATTAGTTATTCAATACTGAAAAACGAATAAAAAATATTTCACTACATCATTCGATCAATGCAGCGTTTAAAATTGTTGATGAATTCTTACACGAATTACTTTAACAACTTAACTTTGACAATACCTACAGAGACATTCATAACAAATGTTCAAAATGATAACCATCATTTTCTGAACAAAGATATCCTCTTCTCACAGTTGTTTCTAAGACATTTCTGGGGTTATTCTATTGAATGCTTCGAAGACACTGTCCCTTAGTTCTTCTTCATCCTCAAAGTTATTTGCGTGTACAAAGTTCGATATATCCCCTAAGAAAAAATCCAGCTGTGTCAAATCAGGCGACCGCGCCGGCCAAGGGATAAAAACGCACGGACTTATCTGGAATTATGTACCGGAGCGCCATCTTGTTGAAACCAACAAGTTCTGAACTTCCGCAATCGGTAAATCATCCAGAGCTTCCTCAAGATGATTCTCAAGCGAATTTCTATAACGTTCGGAAGTCTGTGTTTCATGGTAAATAGAAGGAACAATAATTCGTGTACCAAATATTGCAACCCACATATTAAAGCCGAAACGGTGTTGGTGTCTCGCTGTAATGTATAAATGTTCATTTTCTCGTGAACAATAATGTGTATTTTTTCTATCGAAGCTACCATGATTAGTGACCATGCTTTCATCAGTCCAGATGATTGTTCGAAAGAAATCTGCCAAATTTTAACATTTCCTGGTATACCACTCACAGGATGTCTTGCGCCTTTCGTCATCTCCTGGTTTTAGCGCTTGACATATTCTGAATTTGTATGGATGGAATTTTTGTTTCCGCAAAATGAAATGGGTTGTTGATTGAAACCAGTTGATGAGGTATTAGTGTGCTGACTAATTTTCCTTCAAAATAAGTGGAACTGATGGCATTTTTCCTTTGGAGTTTCGAAAAAACATCGATGATGGATGGAAATAGGTCAAAACACGAATGAACCACCTTGTATAATACATCGTTGAATTCAGAATGAAAAAACCTTTTAGAATCTGTGGAAAAATTATCAGGACCGTATTCAAAAAACAAAAGTTGATGATGGTTCCACGAATACGAAACGTCGCATGAAAAAATTGGTATCACCACGTTGACCGTCATCAAAAGTTGCTATGAAAAAGTATTCTCAGTTTTGCTGTATCTCAAATAATAACGGAGAAAAAAAATAAAATAGAAATTCCAAAAATTCACTTTTTTCGATATAACTCAAAAACTAAAAATAATTTTCAAAATTTTCGAAGGCTCTTGATATGAGCCTCCGAATGCGCAACTTTTTCCCCATTTAACCGATTTCTTACCGTTTTCGAGATCCCCATGCTGTTCAACCTTATCTTGGACAGACTGTATAGTTGGAGGTACTTACCGTTAGCGTCTTTGGCCTCCAGCCCCTCGGCCTCCATGACGACCACGCTAAGCACCACGATGGGGGGTTGTTCCTCCCCCGCCGCGTGCAGCATGCGGTAGTGCCTTTCGGGCGGCATGCGGAAGGCCCGCTGGCCGTACAGGTAGAGGTCCTCCTTGTAGTGAGCGTACTGGCCACCAGGGGCGGGTGCGCCAACCTGAAAAAAACAATCACCGTCAACTGAGATGACTTTGTCAGATTTTGCGAGTTTTCGATGATGAATTGACCCACTAGCGCCGTGCGTTACCATATGGCAACGTCAGTCAGGTTGAGACTGAAATAATTTAACAGGAGAAAAAACGAACTCAAAGTCGGTCGACCACAATATTTAATATAAAAAAAGATAATGAGTGTGACTATAGTTTCGGCTCTACGGTCATCTTCAGACACAATTAGAAAGTACCTAGAAAGTTACAAGTAGTACAGGTGTTGAACAAAATGGTAGCTGAGACAGAGATGACATTCCTGTTATGTGGAAAACATCTTAACAAATAAAATTTCGGTAATTATCGGTTCGTTATGATTAATGATCAGTCCAGCCTCACAATCAACAAAATTTGTAATGGCTGAAAAGCCAAAAGAACATTACAATAAGTAAGTTCAACATCAGGAAAAAGGAATTGATTTGGAAATTTTCTAAAATGAGCTTCATCTGACTGCAATCAAACCATCAAAGGAAGGACACAGAAATGTAAAAATTGAAATTGATAATTTGACATTGACATGACAATATTGACAATTTCAAACACAGAATGAAAAATTCTTTGAATGACAATCAATCATATGAAAAATGAAGCTCGCCACACCCAAAAGAGACTTAATAATGAAAATTCAGAAATTATATAACATCAAATATCAATGCAAAAACATTCGGGTTGATGACACAGACACACGCGGAACGGTAGTAAGAACTGCCAATGAATATAGAAGAAGATGAACTGTTCATGCTGAAATTGAAAAGAAGACAAACCAAACTTGTGTCAAGTTAATGAGTACAGAACCGGCTCTAGCGCAGGAAATGCTTTAATGAAAATTAAGAGAAATGTAAAGAACGAAAAATATGATTGCGATCAAAATAAGTCTGGTTATTTGAACAATTGATATTCTTTTTTCCACATTTTTCAAACGACTCACCCATGTTCAGCAAACATTCATACAGTTTTGTCAACTTCTTTGAGGAGTTATTAAAATTCACATCCAATTCTAACTGGTGAAAACACATTATATCTAGGGCGCTGCTTTTTTTGAAGCATATCTGTCGTCATCGTTTTTATTTTACAGCCTCAATCTTCACAAAAAGAACTATTTGATACAAACAAAGTGTAAGGTTGTGTGTACTTTGTTATATTCAAAATATTAACAAATTCTCGAACGTTTCCGGCTACAAGCCATCATCAGGAGTAATTTCTGAAAGTGAGTGAAGATTAGAAAATCTGAATTGAAGTTATGTTATAGGTTAATGAATTTGATAAATTATAATGAAGTTCTACTCACTTGTCAGAGTTTTTACAAAATATCAAAACACAAAAAGATTATCATTATGTGCTCAACATTGTAAAATTCAAGTTTTCCGGGAAAACAAAGTGCATTGTTTGTTGTTTGAAATTAAAAAAATAAAATAAAAAAAAGCAATTGTACATGTGCTCTTACATTTTTGGCAGGACGACTGAGTGAATGAGGTTGAAGTTGGAAAATGCATATGACATCTTGAAAAATGATCTAAATTGACAGACCATCAAAACAGTGACAATGACAGGTTTGACATGAATTGAGAAACATAAGAACCTGTAACATCCACTTTTAGTAAGAATTTCTAAATTTCTCACGTTTAAGGGTTATAAACCTAAAAATTAATAAAAGACAATCAATGACATAGACTAATGACATTTACAATGCTGACATACAGTTGACATAAAACCAATCTATATCAACAAAGAGGAGCAGTTTGATTGAGGCAATGAAATGTTATGGATGGATGTAGCAATAGTGAATTCAAGGAGTGGGGATTGGAGTTATTGTCTGATTGGTTGGGAGTTTTTTTGAAGCTTTGAATATTGAATATGAATTTGTGTGTTTAGACAAGATGGATTGGAAGTTCTTTCTCTTGTTATTTCTAAGTCTCCTAATAAATCTGACTGTAAGTTTTTTCATTTAAAGATATGTAAAATTTTGACACCTGTATTTGTGTTGAAATTGTGATTACTGGTTTTTAAATTTTTACCAAAACTAGAAGTGCTGGGTTTGTTGACATGTTCACGAGCTCTGACTGATACTTTCCTGATGGTTTTTCCAACATAAGTACTATTGCAATCTGAACAAGTTAGTTTGTAAATACCACTTTTATCTGAAAAATCAATTTCATCTTTTGTGTTGATAAGTGAAGAGCCCAAATTACTCAAAGTTTTGAAAGGAAGTCTAACATTGTTAACATTGTCAGTAAAATATTTGAATTCAGATCTGTTAACAGACTTGACCTTCATGAAACGGTAGAACAAATTAGACCTATGGAATGTTACTAGGGTGGTTCGGCCACGTGAATTCGTGGTACTCTGAGTTCATTTGAACTCACGTAATATAATATGGACGTAACGTGCGAGTAAGTATATCATCCTTTTCTCACGCATTTGAATTCGCGATTTTTTGTCTATATTCAATAGTATCCGTAGGTATTTGAAGTAACTTTAAATCCCTGGGGGTTCAAAGTACCACTTTTTTTCTCGAAAATAGGGAATAAAGGTACCCTTCATATCCCTAAAGTGCATGAAATACTTTTTCTCGGTGTAAGCTACCTCTGTCCCAACAAGTTCCTATACTTCCCTCTCGATACTTTCCTTCTAAAATTCATCTCGAGAATATTTCGCAACGCAAGTTTTGCCTCAGAAAATGGGTCAGTGAATTTAGAATCGACGTTTCACTAATCCCTGCTTTCACATAAATTTGCGCGCTAACATAACTATCAGTATAGAGCAAAGACGAAATTGAGATAAACGATGGGGAGTCGTGCTATCTTTTGATGGCCTACTTTGAATTCAAGCGGCGGTTTGCCGAAAGGCAGAAAACCTCGAACGAAGCCATAAGTCGAAGCCAAGATATTTTTCGACAATAGACGTTGATCAATATTGATTTAGCGTACTCTCTGTTATGAGTTCGAATCTTGAGTTCAGTTTAATTAACACCGAAGCGAAGTTTTTTCAGTATTTAACGAACTGAAATTAGTTTTTTGTGACGGGGAATGGAAACTTGAAGCCCTCGTGAAGCTGAGGTGAAAATGGAATGAGGTTGTACTGGGTGCTCACTGTACAGTTCATCACATTTTGGTTGATACTGCCAGGTTTTATGGTGTTGATTAAAGATAGAGTATTGCGGTTTTCAAGTACCTAATCAGAATTTGTTCAACTGTTTCTGTTTATGAGATACAGGGCGATTTTGAAGATTCGTAGGGGATACCGAGGCTACTTGACTTGAGGGGTTTGTATAGACTAATTTCATTTAGCTCTCATGTTATGCGATAGATGGTGCTTCTGTTCGCGATATTGGAGCGAACGAGTATCTAGCCCGCCTATACATGTGTTAATTGTTTCAAGCATATATCTCGAGTGCTGTGTCAGTGAGGATTGATAATCCAAGAACATCGGTGGTAAGTAAATATTCTTGTTTTGACAAAATATCACAATTTTCGTCCATCGAGTAATTCTCGAGATATTTCAATAATTATATTAAAAAAATGCGATACATTGACCATTATTTGCGATATTTCGATCAGTCCGATGCATGGAGATTCTATAGGCACCGAACATAAACTCTGTTTATGTTCGGTGCTATAGGTATGGCCATTTTCTTGTTGATAATACAATTCCGAAAGCTGTCCGACAAGACACTAGGAAAGCGAGAAAAAAAAGGAATAGTGCTATTTACACGGACACATCTTTCGAAAATGCATTGCAAGGAGAAAAAGAAAGCATAATCAGACAGAAACATCCAAGCAAGAAGAAAATGATTATGATGAAAAATACAAAAAGCAATAAAATGAGAGACGGTAGAAAATTCCTTTTCCAAGATGATGATCCCACGCCATCAACGTCATCCAAGAAAGTTTCTGCGTCTTCAGAGTCAGAGGATGATACAGAATGCTTACTATGCGATGAGCCTTATAGTGATAGTTTGATTGGGGATAATTGGGTGCAGTGTACGCGTTGCAAGAGATGGGCCCATGAAAGATCCCAGCAAACACAAATACATATCTGATACATAACAACCACATATTTCTGTTCTCATCCGATGTTGCAGACATATTATTTGTACAGTTAATGCATCTTGCATGTAACGTCAAATTTCCGCCTCCCTGAATATGTCCTCTATGCATCCGACATATGTTGAGCGTTTTCGAAGTAACATTGCATACATGTATTAGATACATTATAAGTAACGCGAATTTGTTCTTATAATGAAACCTAAATGAATGTTACAGAGTAATATATGTGAGATGAATCCAAAATAATGTTATTGATCATTTCGAGAAAAATACAGGAATTTGAGTGTCGACAGCAATATTGATAACTTTGTTATTATTGAAGATACAAAATTGTTCACATTGACAAACTATCAGTAGGTACATAGGTATTATTTGAAATTCAAGTTTCAAATACATCACTGAGAAAACATCATACCTATGTTGAATGAGACAATATATTGAAGATAAAAATTTCATTATCAATTTGAAATGATCCAGCAAGCATTCTTGGCACCAAAATGGAAGAATAGGTACTTCAGTAGTAATGATATGTTAATTGAGTGGTAAATCACCTATATTTATATGCTTTCTAGCTGATTCTATATCAGGTGTATATCCAGGAATGTATTCTCTTTTGAGAAAAGCACTGCACATACTATATATAAATAATTTCTGATAGCACTTTTGACACACCAAAATGGTTTATAATGTCTCGGTGGAACTTTGACCATTCTAGAGTTCTATACTTCAGAGGTTAAAACCTACTTTGGGAAATGCAAGTGTGGTGGAATATGGAATGTTTGATTGTTTGATGACCCAAAATCTTCTGTCAAAGAATGTTTCCCCTTTTCATGCTTTTGGATTTTCTAACCCATCCATAATATATTGTCCCTAAAAGTCACAAATGAAAACACCATTACTTTCAA